AATCCACTGAAGATTCCAAAGGGAACGGGAGGGTGACAAATCCAAACCCAAACCTCCAATGAAAACCACACACCATTCACCTTCCAAACCTCTGATCTTGCTCGCCAAGAAGGACAGTAACACTCGTGGAGCTGTTAAAAGCAGATCTGACCTTTCCCATCCTCCCCATCGTTATCCTGCTCTCCACCAGACCTCTCTTAAAGATTTGTTTGGGGTTGGTGCTTTGATCCCTCCCTGGTGCATGGCTTTCCTTGACACCCAGAAGATGCTGAAACCTCCTTCCAGGCCAGAGCAACTGCCTGGACCCTTCCAGCCCTCCCTGCCAGGGCTTTGGGGCTGCAGGAGGAAAGTGCATCCTGCTGTAGCTCTGGTGCTGACAAAGCTGGAACTGGGCAGTTTGTAGCTTGGCTGTTCCCATGGGATATCTCCCCTCTGGTGGCTCTTCCATAAAACAGCTTTACAGCTGGCCCACGATGCCCCTGTCCCACCACAGGCCCTGCAGTGTCCTGTCAGCAGCTGATGGATCAGGTTCAGTGAGCAGATGGATCTGATTAAATGGATGATCTATTGCTTTGTGCTGAGCAGGCAATTCTTCTGCTGGGTAATTTACTCCTGGAGTGTGACTTGATCCCTGGAGCTGTGTTGTTCTCCAGGCTGTACATTTGTGTCAGAAAATCCCATTTTGTGTTTGGCCATGGAGTCACTCAGCATTACTGAACTGGTCCTGGTGAAGCACAAGCAAGAACTCATCTCTGGTACCTTTGTGTCCCAAACTCAACTGAAAATGCTGGGTTTGCCCAATCTCTGCTGGGAAGCTCCGGGTTAGCCTGGGGATCACCCAGCAGATTGCTTGGGAGCTCCTTGGTTCCTCTGCTCTCAGCTCCCAGGGCCTATGGAAACACCTGCCCAGGGCTTTGGCTTTGTGGCTGGACTTGCTGACAAAAAGAAGCTGGTTCCAGAGACTCCTGCAGCTGCCACCTTGGCATTGACCTCTGTGGTCTCCACCATTGCTTGGCTCCAATCCAACCTCCTCTTCACCAAAATACTGCAGGGAACAGGGAGGTGCTTGGAGAGGGAAGAACAGAAATTGGCAGAGGAGAGTGAATCCAGAGACTTCTCTGGAGAGGCTCCAGGCTTACCACCCCCAGGAAATCCCCCTGAAGGAGGGCAGCCACCAGGGCTGCTGTCACCTGCTCTTGAGCAGGTCTGGCCATGGTGGCCCTGTGGAAGCAGAGGAGGGGCTGTGGGTGGCACAGGCTGGCACCGGGCTGTCCGTGCCAGGGGAAAATCCTCCTAGGGAATTAGCAGAGCTTGCTCCAATTTAGAGCTCAATTTCTTATAATTTCTGTCAAATCAGGCAGCCCTTTTAAACCTTGCTGGGGAGCACTGCTTGAGATCTGCTAATGGAAAATCCCCCACCGAGGCACGGGATTCTGGAGCTGGGACCTGGAGCTGCGGTGGATTCCTCTGACAGGTACCCATTGGATGCTAATGGCTGAATTAGCATTTCACTCTGCAGCAAAGTCGGAGCTATCTCTACAGGAACAGCTGCTAAACTATTTGCAAAGTTCAAAGAGGATGTATTAATTTTTTTTTTTTTCCTTGAGTCACATTCTTCAGATTCCCGTGTAAGCTCCTTAGGAAGGGCCACGCCAGCTGTTGAAGAATGAAGATTACAACGTCCTGCTAACGCAGCGCTGGGGATATTTAAGGTATTGTTATTTATTCCTATTCTACAGCCACCCTGGAAGGGGTTAAAATGGGGAAGAAAATGGTGCTTTGCCGAACAGGTGTCCTTGAGCAGTACCCAAGGACACAGAGATTGCTAATCCTGTATTCCACAGCATGATCAAATCACCAGGCAACAGATATAAATAAAAAAAGGCAGGAAATAAGGAAATTTAGATACAAGTGTGTCAGAGGGAAAATGAAGATTCATTGTGAAGAGGCTGAGAAGAGAAGAAGAAGAAGGAACAAAATGACAAAGCCACAAATGATAAACCAGTAAGAACAAAAGAAAGGGGGGAGAAAAAAGCCTCTCTGTGAAATGCATGTCTGTGACAGCAGCAGCCAAATCAAAGATGCTGCTAGATTATATGGTTTCTTGCATAATATGCATTCTGGTTCTCTCTCTGTGTTTGTCTTTCAGCTGGTGCACAGGGAAAAAAAAAACCCCATATCTGAAATGGGACGTGAGCAACCTTTATTTTCCTTGTTTCATCAGGAGGAGAAAGCAAATTTGCTTTGTGGGAGCAGCAGCACCTGCTCAATGGCAAATAAATAGCTCCAGCTTTGATATTACAGTGCATATAATCATTAGCAGCACAAATGGCAGAGGATTAACCCCCTGTGTGCTGGCCAGGACTACCTGGCAAAGGGCTGGCACGTCGCTGCTGCCAGCAGAAATGCTGCAAGAGGTGTCTGTGGAGAGGGGCTGGGGCTCTGGAGGGGGCACAGGACCACCCTGCCCTGCCTGGCATGGCTACAAGCCACCAGCACTGGGCTTCCCTCAGCCCTTTGGCCCTGGCACAGGGGCCACCCCAGCTCTGTGCCCTCCGTGTGTGCAGGATGGAGCTGGGGGATGGATGGACACAGGGCAGGCACAGCAGGAACGTGTCAGGGGCTGCCCACACGTGGGGGAATCACAAAATGCCCTGGGTTTATGGACCAGCTCTCCTGGAACCCCCTCCCTGCTGCTTTCTCACAAGGTGGGAACCAAAACACCCCAGGACTGGGCCCCTGCTGGGCCCACTGGAGGGATAAGGTTTGCAAAGCTTCTCTGAAGAGAAGCTCCAGGGAGGTAAAGAACTGCTTCAGAACACCTTGGGGCTGGCTCTGCACCTCTGGGGATCCAAGTGTGGGGTCAGCTCCAGAGCAGATCCTACATCCACCTCACATCCACCCCTTCTCAAGCCAGGAAGAGGGGAACTGTTCTCTAACTAAAACTTTGGTCAAAATTTAGCCAAAATACCCAGATTTGGCTCTTGCTTGCCTGCTGTACCACCTCTGCTTTTCCCCAGGTTGCTTTCTCCAGTGAGGACATGAAGCCACTGTTGTCCACAAAGCTAAAAGCAGAGTCCTTGATGAAACACTTCCCTTCTCCAGCTTTTCCACCCCTTCCCAGAGCACAATCCTGCCTGCTGATGGGCTGGTGCAGCCATGTGGCAGGCTGGACTCCCAGGCTGCAGCAGGATTTTGCCAGTGATGCTGGCTGTGCTGCTTGGACACCATCCCCTCTCCAGATGTGCCAGGAGAGCCCTGGTCATGCCTACTTGCCTTCGTCACAGGGAATGTGTGCACCACATCCTGCAGGAAACACCTACAGGACAGCCCAGGCACTTGTTTTCACTTATTAAAGGCATTTAAAATTGTTCTTTTCCTTTTCCCCTTTCCATTGCATTGCCTCATGAATCTAAAAAAAGCTTCACCAGGGATGTTGGCAGAGGAAAGCAAACAGGGGCTAAATAAACTCTCCTCCAGCCAGACACTTCCAGAGTGAACGTGCCACATCACACAAACCAGCCACAGGCTCCCAGAGCCAAAGAGAAATCGTGTCCCTGCAGCCAGAGTCCCGGGCAGGGAGGTAACTGTTGTGGGAGAGAAGTATCCAGCTGGAGACAAAGCCAGGAAGTTAATATTTAAGCATTCAGACAAGGAACAAATGACTTAATTAAATCAATTACAGAGGGAGAAATGGAGCCACTTAGACAGCGTGTGTAAAGAGAGGGGAGGCTGCTGCGAGCTCATGAAAGAGCAGGAGGAGGGAGAGTTAGCAGGGAAGATAAACGGGCTGGTTTAATCCCTGCTGTTAATTAAGAGCTGAGCGTTTGCACTGCGCTGGGTCAGGGTCGTGCTTCCACTCCGAGCCAGGCTCGGTGCCCGAGCTGTGGTGATGTTTGGAGCCAGGTGCAGTAAAGGAGGGGCAGGCTGAGATGCTGGGGGATGCAGGCAGGAGAAAGAGGTGACACAAAGCTTTTCCACACTCCTGAACCTCCCACAACATGAAGCAACAGCAAAACCCAAGCCCCTATCCTGCAGCTTCCCAGGGCTGGGGTCACCCTCCTGACCTTCCTCCTCTCTTCAGATGAGGAATTTCTGCCTGCATGATCCTACAGTGATCCACCCAAAGAGGAGAAAAGGGAGCAGCAAAAGAGCTTTCATCCCTGAAGATCCTCTGCTCTTACTCCTGACTCAGTGTGGGGTGGAAATCAAGGTTCTATCCCAGCAGAACTTCCAGTTAAAAGGGTTTTTCCCTCCCTGCTGCTCTCTCCCCAGATGAAGCTGCTCCCAGTGCTGGCCATGGACACCCAGCTGGAGCTGTGGCCAGGCTCCAGGAGAAGTGCTCCCAGCTAAAGCCTGTTTGGGTGCAGGACACATCACACAGCGTGTCCGATCTCACTCTGCCTGATCAACAGCCGTCCTTGCTCTGGGAAGAGTTCCCTGGGGTTCCCTCCATAGGCAAGGAGCAATTACAGGCTTTTGTAACTGACTCAGCAGCAGCCACAGAGGGAAAGCAGAACCTGGAATTCTCCACCTGAGGCAGACAAAGTGGCTGACAGCTTTGGGGCAGCAAGGTTTCCTCTGTGAGGCCACTTCAGAAATCTCCTTCTGAAGCTTTTAAAGCCTGAATGCTGGGTTTGAAGCCAGCAGCACAGGGAGTTAATAGTATTTAGCCTGTTGGCTGTCACTCCTTGTACGTCAATAAGCAAATACAAACCCATCTCCCATCTCAAGCTGTAAAACCCCATGTCAGGGAAAGGCCACTGAGGGCTGTGCAGAGTATGAGCTTATCAAGAATAATTAGTTGTCATAAAAATTTGCTCTTCCCCATGCAACAACAGCAATTTTGCACAGTGGGCACTTCAGCACTGCTCCTAAAAATGGCTTTTTAGCTGCACTTCAGCCTGTGGAAGCCCCTGGCCATGCCCTGAACACTCCTGCACTGTGGAAATACACATTTCAGCAGCTGAAAGACAAAAATAAATAACTCAGTAACTCACTTGCTTTTGTTCTTCTCCCAGGCTGTCCCACATCGATGCCACGATTTTCGACACGTCCCCAAAGGTGGCATTGGGGTTTTGCCCTTTGATGGCTGCTTGTGTGTCCCTGAAAAACAGGGCATAGGCTGACACGGGCTTCTGGGGCTCATTGGGGTCCTTCTTCTTCTTCTTCTTTTGGCTTTTGGGCTTTTTACCCAGGTCTGTTGAGGGTCTTTTCTCTCCAGTAGCCTGCAAAACCAAGAGATGAAGCTTAACTAAGGTCTGCTACAGCTGCTGAGCCAAGGAGATGAGAGAGGGAAAGGGAAGAGGAGATGTCCCAGCATGGAGAGGGGGGCAGCAGCCCTGGGGGTCTCTTTGTCCTCCGGGAGCCTCTTGGATCATTGCACAGACTGTGGTGGGTGCCTGAGCCTGCTTTGGTGTCTCTTCTCAGACCAGCTCCTAGCTTGGGTTCATCCCTTTGCCCCTGTTCCAAATCTGGAGCTTTCCAGTCCTCAGTCACTCTCCTTCCCCACCCTCCTCCACAGCTCACTCACTCCTTGATCCTCTTCTGGAAGCTCTCCACATGCCTTGCTTCCCAGCTAGATTGCTTTAGCAGTCCATGAATTTTCCAAACTTGGCTTCCACGTGGTTTCTGATTTCCACCTCACTAAGCCCCCTTTGCATCTGCTCCTGACTTCCCTCACCTCCCCATTCCAGGAGGGTCTGAGCACTGACCAAGCAACAACAGCATCACATGAAACATCACACCAGAGCCATCCAAAATCTGCTCCATCCTGCTAACATATCCAGAAAACTATCCAGGAACTGAACTATTTTAATCACACCATTTAAATGCTTTGCTTGTGCTGTTCACTCCTCCAGCTGATCTGGGCACAGCTGGTGACCAGGAATGGCTGTGTCACACTCAGTGCCCAGGGGCTGTTGGAGCTCAGGGGAGCAGGGCACAGGGAACAGGAGCTGGCCTTTGTGGCTGCTCAGCAAGGGATGCTGCCATGGGCTGGGGAGTTAAACAGCAAGGCTGGAAATGGGGATGCTTCCACTGAAGGCAGCATGGAAAGAAGATCCTGTATCAGTCTCCCCTGGCATGCCCTGTGCAGGAAAAGTTCCTTCCCCAGAGGTGCTGGCACTGCCCAGGCTCCCCAGGGAATGGGCACGGCCCCGAGGCTGCCAGAGCTCCAGGAGCGCTGGGACAGCGCTGCCAGGGGTGCCCAGGCTGGGGTTGTTGGGGGATCTGGGCAGGGCTGGGGCTGGGCTGGTGATCCTGGGGGTCCAACTCATGATATTCCATGATTCTGTGAATGCAGGAGACCACAGAAGCCTCCATGGGAGGACGTGCAAAGGAAAAGACCCCTGGAAAACACTTGGATAACCATCAAAGCTCTCAATGCATTAACTGTGGCCAGTGGAAGCTTGCACTACAGGGAAGCACCATTACCCTTATTTCATAGTGAAGGAAAACCTAAATACACCAGATGGCAGAGAATGAAAGCACTGCTGGATCCCTGCATCCTTGAGGGCAAACAGGACACCAGCCCCTCCACCTGCAGCCCTGAGCTCAAGGCACTACCATCAGCTGCACAGGTTGTTGAATTACTTGGAAAGACACAGCTCTAAGCATCAAGATCTTGTGAAAACAATGCCTCCAGCTGAGCTGGGGACAAACAGCCCCTTCTCCTGATGGATTGGTCAATTTGAGCATGTGCTTGGCCATTTTGGTCAATTTGAGCATGTGCCATTGGTCAATTTGAGCATGTGCTTGGCAGTGCCAGGATTTAAGAGGCTTCCCTTCAGCTGGCAGAGGCCAGGCATGGGGAGGAAAAGGGCAGTAGCATTCCTGCTCTCCACTCTGTAGCTCTTGACTGATCATTAATTTCAGTATCAGCGCAGTGACATTTGTCAAACAGACAGTGACCATTAGTGAATGAGCAGAGAGACCACAAAAATTGCATTTAATTTAAAATTGCCCAATTGGGCTTGAATGGGAGGCCTGGAGGTGAAAGGCCAGCTTATTACGAGGAAAAAAAAAATGCATGCCAGGGCTTCAGCCCATTAGGGGGTGAGATGGTATTTTAACTAACTGTGATCCCATTTGACTCAGTGGAGTGCTGTGGGGAACCTGCTCCCACACAGCCACTGACCAAGCCAAGGAGCTGGAACAGCAGCAGCACAACCTCAGCTGCATTTACAGCTCAGGCTGCACCAAAGAGCACACGGGATTTAGGGAAAACAGCAGCAGGGAGCAGAGCAGGATTTGGTATTCATGGGGTTTTCCAGGTTTGACACACGTGGGATGAGACAACAGCCTGGGCTTGGACCTCAGGAGAGTTTTGACCAACCCAAACCACACTCATGGCTAAAGTCAACCCCCAGTGCCTCGCTGCCCCAGAGCATCTGCAGCCCCAGGGGTCACCCCCATGGTCAAAGGGACCAGGGCTGGGCAGGGGGATGAAGAGCATGGCCACCTGCCCATGGTGGCCACTGGCATTGGACCTGCCCTGGAGAGGCAGCAGAAGGTCTGTTTGGTGGCAGATGTGGACTGGGGCAATGAAGTGATCCCAGAAACTTGGTGCCTTCTTAGATGTTGAACCCAGGAAGAGCTGAAACCTCATGGACACTGTGATTTTAATAACTATGGAGAGTGGCCACTAATCCAGCTGGAATTTGGGCTGTACCCACCTGTCCCTCCCATTCATGTGCACCCACCCCCAAGCTATGAAGCAGGTAAATACACCAGTGAGGCTCAGAGACCTCTGAAATTCAAAAGCTCCCTGGCTCAGGGGACCTGAAGGACCTACTGGCATCAGACTCATTTCTTTAACCTGTGACCTTCTGGCTCACAAGATTAATTTCTGCTTGTTAGATGTTGTTTTGATGACTTGTTGCAGAAAAGCCCTCAATGGTCATGTGAAAAAGTGACTGATGGGTGAAGGCAGCAGCTGTGCAGACAGACAAAGCAAACAGAAACCTGCAGACCACAGCGTGGGTCTGCTGCTTGCCTCACACTCAGCATCTCCTCCTCCCTCAAACATCACTCCCACCTGTCTGGGGGGTTACAGGGCAGAACAGTGAGAGGGATTGCCTTAAGGATTAGGAAAAATTCTAACCTCTGCAAGCTGTCATCATCTAGATATCTCCAAATTTCCTACCCCATGGGCACCACTGGCTCAAGAAAGCAGAGATCCAACCCCAAAGCTGTGTCCTGCTCAGGGACTCCTGGGTGGCTGACAGGAAAGCTGGGTGATGCTGGTGCAGGCAGAGAGACAGAAGCTGGTGTGTCATTAAACTGAAACTCATTTCCTCCTGACATGAGATTTCAGCTCCCAGGTGCTCAAAGCCTGGAGCTTTGTGACGCAGGCTTTGGGAGATGGCAGGCTGTGGGATCCAGCAGCACAACCCCTCCCACAGTGTTCGCTGAACATGGAATCTCAGAGTTTGAAAAATTCCATTTGTTTTAACCCCTTGTATCCCTTCTTTTTGCAGTTTTATCCACTGAAGCTGTTTCCACCCACATGAGCACTCTGCTTTGAAATGCCCCAATCTGAAGTGAAATCTGCCAATGTATGAAAAACTACAGGATTGATGGGAATCCATTTTTCTGGATTTCCATGAAGAGGGAAAGGTTTTTTGCTCAGTCCTATAATTTTCCTAGTTTTCCAGCCCATGCACTGTTTGCTGCTCTGGTTATACATTCAAACCCTGTCACAACAGTCTCTTTGGGTGGGACAAGGTTACAATACCAGTACCTTCAGGAGAAGGTTTTCCCTGGAAGGCTTTAATCAAAGTCCCCAGGGAGCCCAGCAATTCACCTGCAGGCACAGAAGCACTGTGATTGCAGTTTGCCCTCAGTAAATAACAGCCACAGATTTCTGGCATGTGGCACATGTTGTTTGGCTTTGCTGGTGCACCTGGAGAGAGATGGACAACAACCAAGGTGTGCCCAAACCCCCAGGAATTCCTTGGGTTTGTTGGTGCCACACTCAGCAGCAGTTGTGTTGGCTGTAGAGATCATTTGGGACACTGCTGACTACTGAAAACACCACTTTGGTGAACTAAAAGGAAGAAGATTCTTTGAATTCCTGTTTGTTTTCATTAGCAAGCCATGTCCAATGAGCTCAGTTAAATCCCACCATGAGTTATTTTCCTTCCCTGTTTCAGTCTCCTCTACCCACCACCAGAAATCTAGCTAATTTAGCTCCAAGCATTTGCAGACTCTTAGCCCTGAAGCTGCTTTGCTCACTGTAATCATCATCCCAGGAAATCCTGTGGCCTGATGGAACTGGTAGAACGTGGGGGCAGAAGAACAGCTCTGACCTCCAAACCTGCTGTGTGAGCGCCAGCCTGCCATGCTGGACCCCACCCTAGGCTGGGAACAGTGCCCTCATCCTTGGGAAAGTCTCCCACTATAAATGCCAAAACAAGACCAGCAGTCTGTGGTTTTATTTAGCACAATTCACCCCTCTCTGAAAAGCACCAAGCGCCGCGCCACCGCGCGTACCTTGTAATGCGACTCGGTCTCCTCTTCCTGCGTGGAGCTGGAGGGAGATGGGGTGGCAGACTTGCTTCCCGGGGGCGAGGGGGAGCCGTGGGTGACCCCGCTCCGGATGCCCATCTGGGAGATGAGCTGGGACTGGCTGAGGGCACCCATGGGGCCGCCCAGCATGCCGGGCCGGTTGAGCAGCGGCACTTGGCGGTTGGACTCGTAGGATGCGGCGTCCGAGTGCACCATCTCCTGGATCTGAGGGAAGGCGAGATCACTTGTCACTACAAAATTTATTCGTTCATTCATTCATTCATTCACCATACTGCCAGATCACTTTAAGGCTGATTTATTGTTTAAGTGGCTCCACATGGCTGGGAAAGTCTTCCTTGAGCTCGCTTCCAAACGAGGTGAGAGCTGAGCACTGTGCACTCGTTGCTGTGCCCATGAGCCTGACAGAGAGTACCAAATCAGCTTTGTGTGTGTGGCTGTGTGCCCAGAAGGTGCCCCTCACTGCCTCAGGGACTGCTGGTGGCTGCCACCTATCATGGATCTGAAAGAAAGGTTCACAAACAAGTGATTTATGGCAAAATGACCAGGAGAAGGGAAGCTCCTCCAAGCCTCATCCAGCCTGGCCTTGGACACTTCCAGGGATCCAGGGGCAGCCACAGCTTCTCTGGGCATCCTGTGCCAGAGGCCTTCCCCACCTTCTCTAATATCCCATCTAAACCTACCCTCCTATAAATTAAAATCATTCCTCCTTGTCCTGTCCCTCCATCCCTTGTCCCCAGTCCCTCTCCAGCTCTCCCGGAGCCCCTTTATGCACTGGAAGGGAATCCAATGTTTCCCCAGAGCCTTCTCTTCTCCAGTTGAACACCCCCAGCTCTCCCAGCCTGGCTCCAGAGCAGAGGGGATCCAGCTTTGGAACATTTTCATGGCCTCCTCTGGACTCATTCCAGCAGCTCCAGCCCCACTACACCAAGAAGCAAATAAGAGATGAGATGAGATGAGATGAGATGAGATGAGATGAGATGAGATGATGAGATGAGATGAGATGAGATATGAGATGAGATGAGATGAGATAGGATGAGGACAAACCCTGCTGTCTTCTGCATCAAGACCCCATTCCCATTTTGAATCATTTTCCCCAAAACCCCATTTTCCCACAGCATCCATCCTTGCTGATCTAGTACAGCTTGGCTCCTGCACAGCCTCATCCAGCCATGGAGTGGGAGGGAGGCAAACCCTACCTGAAACACTTGTCAGACTTTTCCCCTTTTACCTTAATCTGATTAATGCTAACATGAGTTTGAAGACCTGAGCTCCTGATCAGCCCACAGAGGTGCAATCCCTCATTACCAGGGGAGATTCACCAACTCCATCAGCAGCACACACAGAAGGAGACCTAGGGAAGACCTGTGAGGCCTCCAAAGGCTTCAGAGGACATAAATCCAAACACAAACCCAGATTTCCTGCTGCAGGTCAGGAATCAAGAGCTTTACACCACACCTTGACACAGACAGAATGTTCTGCTCTCCTTTGGACTCTCCAGCGGAAGAGAAGCAGTGTCAGCAGAACAGCTTTCCCTGGATCTGCCCTCCTCCTGTATTAATTGTGAAGTGAAGGGATTGAACTCACAGGAATTAAATACATTCCTGCATTTCAAAAGCAGGAGTCTGACTGAGGCTGACTTAGGGGTCACACTGAAGTGCTGCCCTTGGCTTTGGGGATGTCAAGGAGGCAGCAGGGCTGGCTTTGCTTAGAGGCAAAGGGGCACAGAGCTTAACTGTGCTTTGGTTAGGGGCATAGAGATTAACTATGGCAAATTTTGTGTGCCCTTAAAACCTTATAATGTGCCCTTAAAACCTTATTGTGTGTCTTACTGCAGAGCTCTGGCTGTCCTGGTCATAAGGACATCGAGGATGAGCACCCATGGAGACAGACACCAGGCTTGGGCAGCACAGGAGGCACCAGAGATGCAATTTTTGCTTTTAAACTGAATTTGCAAAAGTCATGGGGATGGCCTGGGTGAGACAGGCAGTGACAGGGAGTGTGCAAGGTAGGGACACAGCTCCCATCTTCTGAGCAGCCAGCCATTCCCAAACTCCAGCCAAAAAACGTACATTTGTTCTTGGGTTTTGTCAGTTTAATCCAGACCTTTCATGTTGGAGAAGATCTGCCAGCTGCTAAGGAAAAGAATAATTTATTGTCCTTATTTTAAATTTAAATGAAGGGAAAGTTTGGAAAACGGGTGTTGGAGAAATGGGGCAGGCTATGAGATATGGCTTAAAAAATTCTAAAATTTAAAACAGCTTGCTCATGTTTCAGCCACAGTAGTCTCCTGAGGAAATACTGTATTAAGACAATTTTTTTGAAACTTTATTATGTGGCCAATGGACCACAACGGCTCCGTTTATCCATTAAATATGTAATCACGCATTTTTCTTTACAGTGCGTGTTATTTATGCATCAGAGCAGAGCAAGTCCAGGAGTGCAATTATGGATACGGGCCACATGCTGTAAATGCCTCTGAAAATTTGTAGAAAAAACCAGGAACCTGAGCCTGGCTCAGAGAGCCCCTCCAGAAGCCCCATGCTCTCAGCAGCCCCATCACAGCACCTTTCAAGTAGCAGAGACCCAGCATTTTTCCTGGGACATCCTTCTCCAAGGATACCTTAGCCCAGCTGCCTCCTCCCAACTTCTTTACATCATTAAAGGGACCCCGTAAGGATGGGGACAGACCCTTATTCAGGTGATAGTTCAAGGGACAATGGTTTTAGACTAAAAGAGGGTTGATTTAGGTTAGATATAAGGTAGAAGTTTTTTACAATGGAGGTGGTAAAACACTAGCACAGATTTTCCAGAGAAGCTGTGGCTGCCCCTGGATCCCTGGCAGTGTCCAAGGCCAGGCTGGACAGGGCTTGGAGCAGCCTGGGACAGTGGAAGGCGTCCCTGCCATGGCAGGGGATGGCACTGGATGGGCTTTAAGGTCCCTCCCAACCCAAAGCCTTCTACAATTGTATGATATAAAAGTGCTTTTAGTTGAATATTTTATTTAGTTGAATCTCTCCCTCTCCCACATCTCCATCTCTTCTACCCCAGTCCAGGAGGTTCTGCAGGACATGCACAGCTCCTCACATGCACCCTGCTGACCAGGAGCTGCCCCCACCATTTGGCACTCACTGCATTTCTCTCCACTTCCCTTTACTTTTTTAAATAATACAATTTTGGAAACAACACCAGGTTGCCACCTCCCCATCACTCCTGGTAATGGCTCCTAGTGTCCCCAGGAGTGGTGGAAAAGCCACTTGAGTTTTCCAGTTGTGAAATATTTGGAGTGAAAATGATGGTGAGTTGTTCGTGTGCAGCAGTGGAGCTTCTTCAATAGGATTAAGGATGAGGATGGCTCTCACTCAAGGCAGGGAAAGGGTTTTCCTGCTTCTCACTGCAGGATCCTGCTGACACTGAGCAATTTCAGGGGCACCCAGAGCATGTGATACCCCCCAAAAAAGACCCAAGGAAAGAGAGACCTCCAGGAGCAGTATTTTGAGGTGATTCCCAGCAGCAAACGGCCTAATTAGGCAAGGAAATTAAGAATGAAACTGTGATCATGGCAAACCAAAGTGAAAGGAGGTAATGAATGCTGTGTGAAAGAAAACAACCTGCTCCTGTGGGATGCAGTCCCAGCCCTGGGCTCAGTGGGGCTGTCCCATGCCCTTCCCTGCCCCACAGAACCCGATGGAAACACAGTGGAGTTAAATACCCCCCATAAATGTGATCAGCTCCTTCCCAGGAGCAGAGGCTGTGAGAGACAGCCCAGATCCCCTCTCCATCCTGGGAATTCAGCCCTTCAAGCTCACCACGAGGTGCTGCAAAAGGCCCAGGATGGGTTTGCAGCCTGTGCTGAAAAGATGTTTTGCTTCTCAGAGGAAGCCCAGAGTGCAATGTGATGTAGTCATTGCTAAAGTAATTAAGTGCATCTTACTTAGCAGATTCCCAAAGGCTGTGCTAACTCCAAGACAGCTTCTTTTTTTCCCACAATATTTCAATTCTTTTAATGAACATGCATATCAGGCCCATAAATGCTCCAGCTAATCCAGAGAAGGAGAGAACAGGCAGAGAAACAGCACATGGTCCATGTTCCCTGTTTCTGGGAGAAGGGGAATTCAGGAGTGACAAACGCCGCGAGGAAGAGCCCAGCTGGGGACTGGGGTGCTCTGCTAACACAGATAATGTTTCAAATGTGTCAAGACCAGCTTCAAGTGCACTGTTCCCCAAAATTCTAATGCAAAAAGCAGCTCTTGGGGTAGAGCAGCAGCCAGCAGGGCTCAGGCCCCAGGACCTGGCAGGGATGGCAGTGCCATGGAATGGCCTCCTGCTACATCCTGACTCCCAACTGCAGCCTCGAGGCAGGTCCCACCCCTAAAGCCACCTTCTGCCTTTGCTTTCCATGGGATTTTTCTCCTCCTCGGTGGGAAATGGATTTGTAAAGCATTCTTAATGTTTGATAGAAAGATTATACAGTATGTATTTGTACGTAAATTTTGAGATAAGAAATGTTAACTTACAAATATTACAGAATAAGATATTGTTAAAAGAGAAATAGAACTAGACATAAGTTTAAAAAGATGGTTTTATAAATAAGACTGGATAATTTAGAGAAATGTAATTAAAAATATATAATGTAGTAGGATTTATAAAGAGTAATTTTAGATGATCAAAAGATCATAAGCCAAAAAATGCTTATAATGTATAAATAATGTGTAAATAGTTAGCTTCTGATTGTGATGGTGTGAGTTATAACATCTGTATCATCTCACCCTTCTCATGAGACTGAAAATGGAATAAAAGTTTTTAAAACACCTCTCAGCTGCCTCATCTCTGTGTCAGAAGAGGGCTTAACCAGACACTCCTCCTCCTCCTCCTCCTCCTCCTCCTCCTCCTCCTCTCACCTTCCTTGGTCTCAGCCACACCCTGAACAAGCCCTGTGCTCAGGAGGCAGAAGTAGTTTCCAAATGGGTAAAATGGGAGTATTGAAATCAGATAGGCATTTTTTCAATAACCCCAACCACAGAAAATTTTCAATTATTGGGCTGATTCCTTCACTTGCTTCTTTTTTAGGGGGTAGTGCTCAATTCTCACTGGTAGTATCCCTTCCTTAAGCTTAATTACTATGGGGGGAGGCATTCTTCGCCCTGCCTGGTACATCAGAGGCCCATACCCTGGGAAACACTTGACTTAACCTCTTCATTAATTTC